CTAGCTTTCTTAGTAACCATTGTCCGGGGTCAAAGGACAGCAACCCATTGACTCTATGGGTGGTGAGAGAGATATGGTTCACTATGTACATCTGTGATGTTTGCGGTGGGCTGGTGGGCTTGACTTCTGCTGAGGTCACCCTGGTTTCTTGATACCATCTGATAAGAAGAGGGCTGTGGTGTGCTCTTAGATGTATGGATGGGTGAACAGGAACAAGGGATGTGTAAATTCGCCTGTAGCTTTTATGAGTCACTTAGAGTCATTTGTTATCACCAGATGTTAAAACCAAAAAGACAATAGCCAGAACAACTAAGCTGTTTTTCTATATGTATAAAAGCCTTACCTCTTTCCTTTGTAATTGTCCAACAGTGTCAGGAGAATAAACTGCTGTTAGTCCCCCAGGCTGTCTCCTTTTCTTTCTTTAAAGGTCGATGCTCTCCAGGGTCTCCGGTCTCCCTCTAGAGAGACCACTGACAGTCCAGGATCTCATGTTTGATAAGGAAAGAATTTCCAAATGCACACCCAGTAGCAAGCAATAAGCAAGTACATTTATTGAAGATCAGAGGAAGCTGTGCTCAGTGCAAGTTTGTACCAACAAAAGATAAGACATGGACAGAAAATGGTGCTGGGTGACAGAAAAGTAAAAGTATGTCACACAGGTCACAGCACATGGAAACAACAGCAACAATGCATGGATTAAATCAGGCTTTCAGAATTTAAAAGATATTCACCTTAGTGCTGGTGCCCCTGAATCTCTAGGTGTGATTGACAGGAATGAATGACAGGGTGCTGAGTTATCCAAGGGTCTCTCAACACACATGCCTGTCCCAGAATTCACTCTGATCTTACTTAATATATGATATGTAGTATATATTTATGAACTCTTAATGAGATGGGGGTAGGGTGAGGGTGATTGAAGGTCAGGCTAAGAGATACAATATGTAGGTGCTCTTGTCTAGAGCCTCAGAGACATCCTGGGTTTTTGTTGTATCATTTTCTATCTCAGGATAATAAAAACAGGAATGTGCATAGGGTACTATTTACAATGAAATGGAGGGAAGGGAATAACTTTCTCTGCTCCATTTTTTTTTTTTGCTTAAATTCTTTTATTGGTACATTTTGGGTATACAATACATTTATATTTATCATTGGGTACTTGTAACACTCTGCTCCATCTTTTAAACTCTATTAGGTGTCCATGAGTAGGTTGTATATATTTTACAAATCTGGACCTGAAATAGATTTAAAATGTAAAGGAAAAAATTACCTTCCCTTATTATAATTCTGCTTCACAAATCTGATGAAATAATTTTGGTTTACCTCATCATTCTGATACAAGACAAATATAACTCCCAATCTGCTAGATATGAGATGTGCCATAATTGTGTCCCCTGAAACAGGTGAATGAATTCCAAAGGACAAAAGAGGTTAAGAGTAGAAAAAGTTTTTTGGGGTAATATGAATAGCTTCTGAGGGACAGGAGCTCTTGAGTGGGTTGCAACTGCAGACCTGTGTCAGTTTTTACAGCAAGGTCACAAATGTGGGTACAACGTGCATCAAACCATAATCAACTAATAAGATTGTAAGTATAGGTGCTGAGCTAATATTGATCCAATAAGGAATTAGGGGACATAACAAGGGCATATGACTGACATCATTAACCTTGGCTTATCTATGACTTCTAAAATAGGAACATTTTAGGGATGGACACAGATGTTCTGGTCACCAATCCAGCTGTCTGAGATATATCTGTATTTAATGGACTTGGTGGTACCAATTAAAGTATAATAAAAGTTTCCATTCATTCCTTAGGGAGGTATGCAAGTCTGACCACTGTGACTTTAATATGGAGGTTTTGCCTTCTTCAGATTCACCTCCAGACCCAATTCTGATGTTTCCACTGTTCACTGACTTCCTTGAAACCCAAGTCCCTCTCTGTCTATTAATTTTTAATCTCACTTAGCTGCCTGCAGTATTTCTCTTTATACCTTGTTAGATGGACATTGTGATGGTGATACCGTGTGTGATAGATCTGAAAGATAGATTCCAAATTCTTGTGTGAAGCAAGCAAAGAATTGCAAGTGTACACCAGTTGTTCAAAAAAATAAAAGAGCAACTACATTTATTGACGTTAACAGCAAGGTGTGCTCAGGCTGTGCAGGTCTGTGCCAACAAAAACAAAAAGGTGGCACAAACAGGAAACAGGATGCCAGAATGGTGGGGGGAAAAAAGACAAACCATGGTTGCAGATTTAAAAGATCTGGCTTCTCCCTGGGTGCCTCTCATTGGATCTCTCTGCATATGATTGAGAGAAATTGTATCAGGTAGCTCCTTCTAAAGATGGCACACCAAATAAATATTACTTGGTTCTGGGTTGCTCACCTCTTAGCTGGAGTTGGATTCCAGATTCTTTTTGACAGATCATCCAAGTTGGACCCCTCCCAAGCAGACCCAATACCCACATCCACAAGGAGCACAGAGATAGCAAGAAGCCAGCAGCCACCCTGATGCTCTCACCACTGCCCTGTTTATCAGCCAGCCCTAGGCCCATGGGACTCTAAAATTTTCCACCCTCTTGACCAGTGTCCCCTCCTCTAGCTAAAAAGCCCCATATCAGCCATGAGCACCCTCCTCTCAATGCCAACAGCTTTCTTGCCATTGGCCCATCTGCCCCCTGATGGCAATAAACTCATTGCATGTTGGTTAGACTTTGCCTGACTCAGTAGTCTCAATCATGCTTCAGTCTGACTTTACGTTTGGTGGCCCATACAAGGAGATCAAGGTCCACCTGGGATCTCATTCTTTTCCCAGACAAGGTCTGCCTGGGACCTTGCTCCCCCTCACCCTAGGTGAGGTCTGCCTAGGATCACCCTCTTGCTCCTCCTCCTCCTAGGTGAGTGAGGTCCTCCTGGGATCTCACTCCCTCCCCTCAGATGAGATCTACCTGGGATATCACCCCTGCACCCTTGGTGAGGTCCTCCTGGGATTGCACTCCCTGCCCACAGAGAAGGTCTGCCTGGGACCTTGCTCCCTGTCACCCTAGGCGAGGTCTGCCTGTGATCTCCCCCTTGCTCCCCCCTTGCTCTAGGTGAGTGAGGTTCACCTGGAATCTCACTCCCTCTCACTCTAGTCAAGGTCCACCTGCTCACCCTTCTCTTGTCACCCCCTCCCACCCAGAGAGCTCTGTCTGACCTGGCTCAGGTTCAAAGTGTGCTCAAAACCCACTATTGGTCATACTTTTGGGAACCAGGTTCCTCTGACCACAGTCCAGTCTCAGGGATGCCTGACTTGGATGCCCATCCACTCCCTTGGCTTTGGGAAATGGATTGAAGATGTTCTTTCCTTTTCCCAGAAGGCCTGGTTACTGGTGTCAGACATCACTATGGGCAACCTCCCTTCTTCTATTCCCCCTTCTCCCCTGGCTTGTGTTCTTAAAAACCTCAAACCACACCATCTCACTCCCAACCTGAAGCCAAAACATCTCATTTATTTTTGCAATTTGGCCAGGCCACAATACAAATTAGATAATGAATCAGACTGGCATCAAAAATGGTGCTTTCAACTTTTCAATTCTCTGAGATCTGAACAATTATTGTTGCTGATTAGGAAAATGGTCAGAGGTCCCCATATATCCAGGCATCCCTCACTATTTGCAGTCTCTTCTCTCTCTGTACATACTGAGCTTCTCATCTCAACTCATCCATCAGCTCCCTCCCCTCTGCCTCCCCATATCACTCTTCTCTGACTGCTGATCCTTCCTCCCTGGGTCTGTCTTCCCTGGGTCTGTCTTCCCTGCCTCCCACAACCTCAGCCTAAACCTCAATAGCCTCCCATTGTCCCTTCCTCCCTGCCAGCTCTCCTCACCCCCTTCCATACCCAATCTCATCTCTGTTTTGCCTCCATTCCAGCCCCAGGAACCCTCCTCCTACAGTTGCAATGCCAAAGCTGCTTAGCTTCCTTCAGGACCTTCTACTGTAACTTCCTCTGCTCCATTCCCTACTCTCTCCACTTATCTGACTCTTCCAATCCTCCTCATCTTAACAAGACCATTCCAACCCCCTCTTACACAAGGTCTGAATTGCAGTTTGGTGTTTCTTCCCTACCCCTGCTTCTCAGTTTCTGCTTTGGGAGGTAGTCAGGGTGGATAAAATAGTCCAAGTTCATGCCCCTTTTCTCTGTCTGATCTTTCTGATTAATCAGTGCTTGGGTTCCTTCTTCACAGACCCCACTGAATACATTCAAGAAATTCAATATCTCAATCTTATAACTTGACCTTACTTCTGGGGTCATCCTCACTTCTATATTCTCCCTCAAGGAGCAAGAACAGACAGATTTGGTTCCTAGCTCACTCCTATGACAAAAACAGGCAGCTTGAGCCCAACTTAGAGGACAGAGCTACAGTCATGCCCAGGCTGAGCCCCATGGACTTCAATCACATTATGACAAATTAAAGAAAATTACTCAAATGTGAGATAAAAATCTGGCCCAATTTATGTCTCACTTAGCTTCCACTCTCAGAAAGTTCACTGCTCTAAACCCTGAGAGTCCAGAGGGACAGCTTATTTTAAGGATGCATTTTATTACCCAATCTCCCCCAGATATTTGCAAAAATCTCCAAAAAACTCAATCTAGCCCTCAAATTCCCATCATAAATCTATCAATCAAGCATTTCAATAATTGTGATATGGCTGCTCACCAGGAGTATATTTCTGACTTACGATTGCTTGCATCCACTATAAGAAACCCACCAAAAGGGCTGAAAGTCAATCAGAAGCCAAAATAAAACCTCCAAGAATCCAAAAAAGGGGTCCAGGACCCTGCTTTAAGTATCACCAGACTGCCCACTGGGCCAAAGACTGTTCCAACCCAAGACTCCCTCCCAAGCCACGCCCCACTTTCAGAAGCCCTCACTGGAGATGGACTGTACTGGGGTGGCCGGCCCTCAGGGCCACTTGCCTGGGCTCAGGTACCCTCAAATGTCCTGATTTGTTGGATTTCAGGTGATTGACATACCTCAGAGGTCTCAGATGTCCCTTGGACCATCACATCCACCAAACTGGGTAAATCTTGCAGTGGAAGGTAAGACTATTTCATTTCTGATCAATATGAGGTGATCCATTTTACCCTTTCCTCATTCTCAGGACAGCTAACTTTAGCCTCAGTTACTGTTCTGGGAATTGATGGCACTGTGTCCAGACCTCTCAAAACCCTTCTGCTCTTATGCCAATTGAAAAACCAAATGTTTACCCATTGTTTCTAGTTATTCCCACTTGTCCAATCCTGCTCCTCAGATGAGATATTTTAACAAAGCTCTCTGCCAGCCACACTATTCCAGACTCTGCTCCCCACCCTATTGTCACCCTTCTCACACGTACTGCTACACCCTCCTCCCTTCCACCTCATATCTTCTCCATTCCTCAATCCACCCATTTGGGACATCTCAATCCCCTCTGTCACTTAACATCACCTGCCCCTCCACATTCCCCTATTTCTTCCCCCTGACCACATATTTTTAATTGCTCAGACCCCAACCCTGACCATAGCACAACAGCTCCTTCCTTCTTGAAAATCATTGGCTATTTCCATTTCTGGATTCCAGGTTTCACAATGCTCACAAAACCCCTTTATAAACTAACCACAAAGGATCCCTCAAATCCCTTAGATAACAAGTCTTTTCCCCACTTCTCATTCTCCCCTATTTCCATCAGACTGACCAAAATTCTGGACAATATATAAATTCCTTGCTTTTGTGTGTCTTGTCATTTTATTTTCTTCTTTCATTCAGTCTGCTTCAATCTTATATGGTTTCACCTTCATATTTCCACCTTCAAATGCTATCTTAACTCAATAAAACATCTCTATTTTCAGGGCCCTCTGTGTAACTTCTACCCAGAAGAGACCAAATTGTTTGCCTTCCCTCTCACCTTCCTCCTGTCTGATAATCAATGAAAAGACTTTAAAACACCTCCCTTCCTCCTCCCTATGCCCTTTGACCCAGTTACCCTTCCTTTTCTTTCTCTCTCCAACCCCTAGTAGAGCACCTCAGCCACTCCCCCACCCCTGCTCTTCCCAATTGCCTTTACAAAACCTTGCAGTTAATTTATTCCATGCTAAACTGGTACAAACCTTCCTTAGCCAAATACCACAGCTCACTCCCTTTGGGTTTATTTGCTGGAATCCCTTCTGCCCTGACCAGAACATCTCCTTTTCCTCCACCCTCAAATCAATTTCTGGATTCAGTTCCTCCTCAGAATTGAGGACCTCCTATTCCAGAGAACCTTCTGTGACTTCTCCCTGAACAAAATCCACCTTTACATCCTTCTCCTGACCCTCTGTCTAGCCACACAGGCAGCCTAACTCCCTTATGTATTGGCATCTTCCCTTCCTACTCACATATATACCTGTGGCCCTCAGGTTCACTGCCAGCTTAGCTTCAGCCCCTACCCCATCAAGCCACCAGGCTCAGAAAACAGGCAAAAGTTAGTCCTATGGATGGTTAGGAAAGCCTTTTCTGAGCAGCCTAGATGCCCTGGATTCTCCCCATGTTAGGGCCCTTAGCCCCAATCTTTCTACTGTTACTGATTAGACCCTGCATAATAAAGTTTTTGCCAGATTTTATCCAGGAACTGATCTGATCCATGACATCCAGACAACTCTGCCTGACCGCCACTACATTGATATTCCAGGAAAGACTCCAGCTGACCCCTGAGTCCCACAAGTGCCTCCAACTGATCCCTGAGAAGGACCAGAAGGTCATCACTCTCCTGACACCTCTACTGCCTCACTCTGGGACTGAACCACACTGCCTCCACCCCATTCCTCTCCTCTCTTCTCCCCACAGGATGCCCACACAGTCCCCAGTGATGCTGGAAAAAGTCATGAGAAACTACACCCTTCCCCTTCTTCCTTGCTGCTGCTGCTGCTGCTGCTGCT